GTCGAGCGTCATGAGGATGTCTCGGAATCGCCCGTGTCCCCTCCCTGGTGTTCCCGCTGAGTACGTGGGGTCTTCTTTCTCTCTGCGGCTCCTTTCGAGGGCTCATTTGCCTCAAGCTGGCAGCACCCAGGCTGCGGGCGAGCCCCTGGATCTCAGGGGGTCAGGGCCCGGGGCCTCAGCCATCACCCACGTGCCCATCCCGATCATTTCACAAACAGGGAAATGGAGGTGCTGCCCGAGGTCACATCGAGTCCTGAGCGGGTGAGACAGGAATGACGAGAGCTGCCTACAGAGGCCTTGGGAACATCCTGGGCTCCCTTCAGAACCCCGGAGCCAGACACTGCCACTATCCCCATTTCACAGACGACCAAGTAAGGTTCAGGGAGGTGAAGTCCAGTGGTTCACAGCCAGAAAGAGACAAGGCCAGGATTCCCACGGGCCTCCTGGCTCCAGTCCACACTTGTCACACCTGCAGGTCATCCTGCTTCCCCCAGGGGAGGCACTGGGTCCAGGTCTGCTCCCTCCCCGGCTGCTCTTCCCACGGCACCCGAGGGCTCCAAGTCACTACCCAACGGCTCTGTGGGGGGCCTGGGACCGCCCCACAGCCCCAGCCCCAGCACCCTCCCGAGCGCTGCCCCAGCCCGGCCGGCCAGAGAACTCATGAGTGAAGAGAACTCCCTCCCCTGGCCTGAACCCCACCCTTCTCTTCAATACTGACGGGCTGGGTTAGAGGAGCCAGGGCCCCCACTCTGCCTCTGTGTCAAGGAGGCGCCTCTGCTGCGTTCAGAGGATCCAGCCCACACCCACAGAATGATGGAGGCCGCTCCTCCTGGACGCAGAGGCTGCCACTGCTGCAGGAAGTCACCTCCAAGCTACACCCCGGCTGGGCCAGGCCCTCCCACCCTCCTGTCCTGTTCAAGATGTCCCCGCCCCCAGGCAACCTCACCTGTCCTTCCTCCTCTGGGCCTCACAGCACTCACCACATAGCTGTTGCCTTGAGTGAGGAGTGGCCTCAAGAGTCACCCCCACCCCCACCCCCCACCACAGGGACAGCTTCACCCTGTAAAACACACGCTTTTCCACCTGGGCCATGGTGACCACAGAATGCTGTACGTGAGCAAGCCCCAAACACTGCGCCTCTCCGGTCTGCAGGGGTCCCACCTCACCACACCCCTCTGAGTTGGGGTGTCTTCCCTCCTTCAAGCCCATCCACCTGTCACCCGCACCCCACCGCACTCCCAGCCACTCAGGCGAGGTTCCACGGCAGAGGGGGGCCTGACTCACTTGGTCCTGATGCAGAGCTCGAGGGGCGGGATGAGGTCGCTGCCCCCGTCCTCGGGGACGGTCTGTGTAGTGTCTGGGGAGGCGAGAGAGAGGCACACGCTCAGCCCTGGGCCCGAGCTCACCCTGAGGTCGGACCCAACTCCTGAGACCCGACTCTTCTGACACCTAACGCTTTGCTCATCTCGACTGGACCACCCTCGTCCTGGCCCGCTGGGTCTCGCCGAGACGTCACAGCACCCCTCACTGGCCTCCCACCTCCAGCATCCGCCTCACCCTCCTGCCCTCCCTTCAGCTACCAGAATAATTCTTTCTGAAGGCACATCTGATCCTGTCACTCCCCTGCTCCAAAGCTTCCCAGGGCTCCCCACTGCCCAGAGAATAAAACCCACACTGTATTCCGGCCTCCCCAACGCATGGTCTCCACCTCGCCTTGCACCCAGAACGCCATCAGTTTCTCAAAGCGCAGCGCTGGCCCCTCCCGCAGGAGGACCCACTAACGCGCCCTCTGACCCCCCAGTCCTGACGCTCGCGTGAGTCTGCATTGTTCTCCGGCCGCCCTGAGTGGGTGTGCTAAGGCCGGTTTCCCTGACCGGTCTGGAGGCTCCCCAAGGATGCACGGGATGGGGTGGGGGCGTGTCGCACCAACGGTCAGCCGGATCTGCTCCTGCTGGTTGGCCAGGCCGTCGTAGTAGTACAGGTCGAAGAGCCTCTCGGTCCTCCAGTCTCGCAGGAGCTCCGGCTGCAGGCTGAAGAGGACGCTGAAGTGGCTCTCACTGCACACCACCCAGATGGGGAACCTGGGGGTCTTCAGGAAGCAGCCGACCTGGACGAGGGAGAGAGAGCAGATAGAGAGGCCTGAAAGGACCTGCCGTCTCTGGGGAAAAGGCCGCAGAGCATCTTCTGTCCAGCCCCAGGGCCCGGCTGACCTCAAAGAGGCCTTGTTGGGGATTGTGGCCTGTGTGTAATGTCGAGGGGCTTTCATGCTGCTCCCAGAGGCAGGTCTGTCTCCCAGAGACATCCCTGCGGGCTCAGCCTGCTGCTCGCAGGGCCTCTGCCCCTCAGATGCCCCGTCCCCTTCATCCCCACATCCCGCTGGTACACGGTGCCGCCAATCCTGCCTCCAATGGCGCCCTCTGGCCCAGCCTCCCTGCCGCCAGACACTGACCTCCCCTCCCCAGCCCAGGGCCCCACGGGACCGCTAGCCAGTCCTCAAACTCATCCAGCGCGGCAGGCCTCCGCGCCTGTGCGTCCATGGTCCTCGGTACACCTCTCCTCCCTTCGGGGTCCTGATTCACCCAATTACTCGGTCAGGGGGCACGAGTCACCCCCTAGCTCCCACTTGGGGGTACTGGGCACCCGCCCTACTCCATCAAAGGACAACGCGTCCAAGAGCGGGGACAAGGTGACAGAAGCGAGGGTCTGATGAACGCAAGTGAAGTGGAACCGGAACTTGACGACAGGTGAGACTTGGAGGAAGGGAGGGGGGGCCCCAGGTGAGCGGTCTGTGCTGATGCCGGGACCAAGGTCCAGACGTCCGGGGACCAGCGGGGCGCCGGGGAAGAGGCAGGGGAAGCGGGGCCGAGAGCTGGGCTTCCGCCTGAGGAGGGCCTCCCTCGGTGTCCCAGCAGAGGACACCCACGGCGGAGGGCGGGTCGGGAAGGCCAGTGCCGTGGCCCACGCATGGGGCCCTTGGACCTGCTGTCGCTCCGCCAGCCAAGGGGAGCCTGACCCCCGGCTGGCCCCACCCCTCAGTCCCACCTGCCTGCTTCGCGCTCTGTCCCTGTAACCTGTGAGTCCCGTGGGCGCCTCTCCCCACCCAGGCCGTTTTGTTTAGCTCTGTACGTGCCGTGGGCTGGGCTGGGCTGGTTCTGGCCTAAATCCCCACCAGCCCTGGGAGATATTTGCTTGCTCAGGTATTTACAGCGGTAGCCTGTGGATTAAGGAAAGAATGGGAATTATTTTTCCAGTGGGGAGAAGGGCATACTTTCCCCAGGGCCCATCGCAGCAGAGCAGCCGGGCGGTCTCCCTCGGCCCCTCGGAGCCTGCCTGGGAGCAGACTCCGGGCCGGGGTGTCTCGAACCGAGGGGCTGTGCTCAGGAGGCCCCGACCAGGTCCCTACTGAAAGGCTCGTCCACAAACAGCCGCTTCCTCCAGGGGATGGGAGGGAGACCTTTATGACATGTTCACGTTCTCCCCGTCCCAGGGCCCTGCCCCCACCTGACCAGTGGGGCCCTCGCTCCAGGCCCGTGTGACATTAAAACGTGACTGCAGAGCTGGATCCTTGGTGGGATGTGGAGGAATTAAATGTCTTAAAGGACGTGGCTGGACGTGCCTAAACCCCACTGCACACTTGGCTTCCTTTCCGGGCTCAAAAGAGGCTTTTCTGACGAGGGCGTCGCCTCAAACAGGGAGCCTTGAAGGCTGGGGACCCAGTGCTCACTCACTGCAGGGAAAAGAGCCCCACAGCCTGCCAGGGAGCAGGCGTCTGCATAATCAGCCACCCTGAATTTTCCAGCACAGGGACGAAAGGGCAGTGTGCCATTTATACAACGGTCAAAAGATTAAGGGCAGAAAAAGCTGCCCAGAGACTTTATAAATGAGCTTTCTCACTCAGGAGCCCCCCTCCGAGTAGGTGACATTATCCAAAGGTGAAATGCACTTCCTTAGGATCCTGGGGTAGCTGACCAAAAGCCTGGGGTACGGAGGGCAGGTCGGGGGCATGTTTCCTCCAGCACAGGCTACGGCTTTCTCCTGGTGGGTGAACGTGCAACGCAGTCAGGAACGACATTTTTAATGAGGATTCTTCCATCTTTGAGGGGCGGGGGGAAAGGTGTATGAAGGCCCCAAACCCATCTGGGGACTGCCGGCTTAGAAGCCCTAACTGAGAAGGATCAACGTTTGACTGAAAGCAGGGCTAACTGTCTGTCATCGCAAAAGAAAACGCTCATCCAGCATGGCTAACACTTTGGTCCCAGGCGCCACGCTAGACAATGGGGATTCGGCAGGGGAGGGAACGAGCAGAGCCTTGTCCTCACGGAGCTGACCGAATTAACGGGGGATACGGGCGGCAAGCCAGATCGGGCGACGGGTGCACCTCCACCGCATCGCACTGACCCAAAGGTGCCAGCGCAGCCGCCATTATTTTTTGTATCACTAAGAACTCGAACTGGCCGTGCAAGTCTGACGCACCATCGACTGTGCTAAAGCATCAGCCTCTCAGAGATGCTCGAATACGGAGAACGTTTGTATCTCAAAAGCAATGAAACGCGATACTGAACACCAAGAAGAGGCCTGTGAAGGAAAGAATTACGTTTCTACGTGGAGAATGACAAGGTGGGCAGGCGGCCACAGGAGGAGGCCTCTAGTTAGACAGAGCGACGAGGTCAGGAAAGGTCCCCTATAGCAAGTGACACTTAAGCCAAAGGCGGTGGGAGGAAAAGCAGGGACAGGTCTCGTAGGGACTTGTAAGTCCTGGGAGGTTCTGGATTTTAATCTCCACATTTGTCTGCTAGGGTGGCCACAATGAAGCACCACGGACTGGGTGGCTGAAGCAACAGGCACTGATTTTCTCACAGCCCTGGAGGCTGGAAGCCGCAGACCGAGGTGTCGGCAGGGCTGGTCCCCCAGGCTCTCCCCCTGGCTTGTAGATGGCGGTCGTCTCCCCCATGTCTGCACGAGGTCCCCCTCTGTGCGTGTCTGTGTCTCAGCCTCCTCTTCAGAGAGCGACACCAGTCCGGTTGGATTAGAGCTCACCCGATGGGCCTCATTTTAATTTAATTACCTTGTTAATGGCCCTATCTCCAAATACAGACTAGGAATTCGACATGTTAATTTGGAGGGGACACAATTCAGCCCCTAACATTCTCAGAGAAGTGGGCAACCACTGAAGGGTGCTCAGCAAAGGAATGATGGGATCTGATCCATTTAAAAAAAAAAAAAATCACACTGGCTTTGGTGGATAAACAGGATTGGAAGGGGGTGGGGACAGGAGCTGAAGGCCAGCTGAGCTGTCGCAGGTGTCCAGACCAGCAACACTGGTGGCTCAGATCAGGGTGAAAATGGACAGACTTGAGAAACAGCTTAGGGTAGGAGCCACCTGGCCTCCTGATGGATTAGACACGCTCCAGGTTTGAGTAACTGGCTGGATGGTGGCATCTGTGGGGCTGGGGGAAGCACAGAAGGGTGGAGCTTACAGATTCCTCGCTGCCCGACTCAGTCTTGGCTCTGGTCCCTTTGTCCAGGCAGCAGTTAATGTCCCCCGCAGGCCGTGGGAGAAGCACTGAAGTTAAACTCCCTGTCCCAGGCTGTCCTGCCCTGGCCTGTCAGACCCCATCGCCATGGCCACCACGATGTTGCAGGGATGGCCTCCGACTGCAGCCTGCAGTGCAGTTCACCCCTCACGGCTGAGCTCTGGGATGGTGGGAGTGAGGCTGAAGTCAGACGGGCGAGAACAGCACAGCGGGGTCACAGATCGCCGAGGAAGGCCCCGCAGTCCCGGGCGCACAGGAGCAAACGTCCTCTCGCTGTTGGGGATAAAACTCCCAGTCTTCGGCCAAGAACTCAACGGCAGAGGAAGTCTATGTGGGTTCCAGGAGTCAGATTTTTGCAGGGCCTGAATTTTTCCAATCAGTGTTTTATTCCAAGGGAAGGATGACCGCCCCAACCCCCTCAACTGATGTTCCCATCAATTGCCCTCAACAGACCAAAGGAAAACAGTTTACTTTTTGACCAACGCCCTTAGCACAAGAATGAACGCAGGGATCACGGTAAGCCTGCAGATTTCATGGGTCCGGCCAGGGTTACCCTCTCGGCTCGTGGAATTTCGGGCTGCGTGCTTTCAGAGCCCACCCAGGGTCAGATGCTCGGGGGCCCTGGTGCTTCTCACAGGCCACGTGGCCACATTCCTGGGCTCCCTCTGAACACCAGCACGTCTGGGAAGGACACACTACCATTCTTTTCTGCCCAAGTCTCTGGAAGCCGCAAGCCCGCTTCTTGTCTGTGGGGGTGGGGGTGTCAACCAGAGAGCGGACCTGGGGATGTGGCCCCCAAGCAAGGGGACAGCACAGCTGAACGAGTGATCATTCAGGAGGGACGTAATGAAACTGAGTCCTGCCTCAAAATGCCGGTCTCCACCCGCTCGGCACACCCCTTCACCTAGCGCTTTCTGAGAGGCCTATTGGGTCGGTCTCTGCGTCCCTGGTTCTGGGAATATACGGTGAATGAGGCCGCATCCAGGCCCTCCAAGAATCTTTGGTGGCAGCCAGCATGCGCTACCTCCTCACGACAATCCTCTTCGCGTAATCGACCACAGAGTAACGTCTTCTGAAAACATAA